ACGCTCCTCCAGCGGTCAACGGGAGGCAGCTGAAAGCCTACCTCCGTGAGAATGTCGACCTCTTCGCCTGGAGCGCCGCCGAGATGCCCGGCCTTGACCCCGAGGTCGCCTACCACCAGCTCTCCATCAACCCAGCCGCGAAGGTTGTAGTACAACGTAGGCGTAGGCAGTCCCTCGAAAAGTCGGCGGCTGCTAAAAGAGCTGTAAAAGACCTTCTAGAGGCAAATTTTATTTTGAAAGCCCGATATTCAACCTGGTTATCCAACATTGTACTAGTCAAAAAATCTAATGGAAAATGGAGAATGTGCGTTGGTTACACCAATCTCAACCGGACATGTCCCAAGAACGCCTATCCCCTCCCCAATATCGACAAGCTCGTCAACAACTCGGCGGGCTTCAAATTATTGTCCTTCATGGATGCCTACTCTGGGTACAACCAGATCTCATGGCTAAGGACGACAAACAGAGCACGACCTTCATGACCGAGTCGGGAAACTATTACTACAACGTAATGCCCTTCGGCCTAAAGAACGCCAGCGCCACCTATTAGCGTATGATGAACAAGGTCTTCCGAGGAGAGATTAGCGATATGCTCGAAGTCTACATGGACGACATGATCTACTCTCAACTAATCCAGACCCCCCCAGTACACCCACACCCTCCAAAACAAATATTTAACTACATCTCACAACACTCTAATACAAGAGCATAAGAGAACAAATAAAGTCAAATACAAGCTTAAAGTGCTTTTGACTGGTGCATCTTGGAATGAAGAACTTGGATCCTATATATAGTCTCGGACTCCCTCTTCCTTCACAAAACTAAGCAATGTGAGACTTCAAATAACTTGTCTCCTATATATAGTTTTAGACTCTCTCTTTATTCACAAAACTAAGCGATGTGAGACTTCTCCAACGTGTTTATTTTTAATTAACCCCAAAAATCTCCACCTTGATTGAAAATAATACATAAGCTTTCATTATTTTCACCGACAATCATACTCCACCATAAAGAGTATCAACATATATATTTTCAACCAACCCCAACAGTGCGATCATCTAAGTTTCCTCCCAATCTACTTCACTAAAGGCCTGCAATTTTAAATGAGTTGGTTTCTTGAGTTCCAATCCAAAATTGATGGTGAGTTTGAGATATCTCATGACTCGTTTAAGTTGGTGAAAATGGATTTGAGCGGGCTGGTGCATGAATTGTGATAATTTATTGATGGAAAGTGAGAGGTATGGCCTAGTCAAAGTGATATATTGCGAAGCTCCAACAATGGTGTGAAATGTTTTGTAATCGCCATGTGCAGATCCGTCCATTAGTTGAAGTGGAGTATGACTAGGTTTTGCACTAGCCATGTCAAATTTTTGTAACAAGTTCCTGAATATGTCCATGTTGAGAGGGAATCAAACCATCAGTGGTAGGTATAAGTTCAACACCAAGGATGTAATGTGGATAGCCATGATACTTAATGGAAAATGGATTTGACAATTCCCTCATCAATAATTTGAGAAATACAGGATGACTTCCTGTGAGAATTAAGTCATCAACATATACTAGCAGAAAATTTTGCATACCTTCTTTGTTATAGATAGACAAGGAGGAGTCACGCAAACGTATGGTAAAGCTATATGATAGTACAAATTCTTTGAGTGCGTCATACAATGCAAGAGGTGCTTGTTTGAGACCGTATATTTATTTCTTTAATTTGCAAATGTGATTGGAAAATTGGCATGAATGAAACCAGATGGATGTTGCATATAAACCTCTTTACTTAGTTGACTTTGTAGGAAGGCATTATTAACATCTAATTGATGCAAAGACTAATCTGAGGTGAGAGAAATGGTAAAAATAACTTTGATGGTTTGAGGTTTAACTACTGGAGAAATTTTTTCTTTGAAATCCAATCCAGGTGTTTGAGTGTAGCCTTTGCTAGACATTGGTGCACAATGGTTTTGAATTGAGTGAAAATATTGAAAGCATCTGATTTATTTTTGATAGGATACAACCAAACGTACTTTGAGAAATGATCAATAAAAATGGCATAATTGAGATAGCCATCTAATTATCTAATAAGATTTGGGCCATATACATCTGAATAAATGAGTTCGGTAGTTATAGTATGGTGATTTGAGAAACATAATTTGTGACTTTTAACACAATAGAAAAAACTACATTCATAAGGTGAAGGAAGTTTCATTGGTAATTGATGGTTGGCTGTCAGATGTTTCATAATAACTGAAGAGGGATGTCTTAGTTTGTGATGTTATGTTAAGGTGGAGTGGAGACTGGTAGTAAATGTTGTAGGATTGTTGTGAGAAGTGATTTGACATAGCAACTAGTAGAGATCTTGTTTAATTGGTCCTTACAGCAGAGCTTGACCCGAATTCAAGTCCTTCACAGCAAAACAAGGAGGGAAAATTCAACATAACAATTGTTAGTTTTGTATAGTTTGGAAACAAAAAAGCAAATTAGATTTCATATTTAGTACACATAACACTTGATTGAGATGAAGGGATTTGTGTTTAGTGTTCAAAGTAGTGTGAGCAATGCGAGTAATTTCCAAACCTATGTCATCACCAACTAATACTTTGTTTAAACCGGGGTATGAATTAGCCAAAGTGAGATGCTTTAAATCTTAAGCAATGTGATGAGATCCTCTTGTGTCAATGAACCAGTTAAGATGATGTTGTGTAGGCTGGCGAGTAGTTGTGTTTGCCTGAGGTATACCTATATTTCTTCTAGGATAGCCCTTGATTTTGAAGAAATTTAATGAAATATGATTAGGCATGTTGCAATATTGACAGAAAATATGTGCTTCATTTGTTTCAACAGAAGTATGAGGGGCACGATTTCAATTGTACCTAGACGGATGTTGGTAACCGCAGAATCTTGATGTTGCATTTGATGTAACAACCAGAGGATCTGTCATAGCTAGTTCCTCACGGTTAGGGGTATGCATGGATAACCATTTAATATGAATCAATCCATTTTTATGGTTAAGGTTTATAAACCAAACCACTTGTTCTAAACCGGTTTAAAACCGGTTCTAAATGGATTTTGATTTTAACCCTAATTATTTAGTTAAATTTAAATTTAATTTTTTTTAAAATTATATTAATTTTTAAATTTAAATACTTAGATTTTAATATATTTTTCCTTTGAAAATAAATATTAAAAAAATTTTTAAAAAAATCTAAAAATTAAAAATATTTAAAAAATTAAAAATAAAATTGAAAATAAAAAATTATAAAATAAAAAATTTCAGCAAATTATATGAACTTAAAATGATAACTAATATTTATAATACATATATTTGTATATTTCAAAACCTCTATCTATTGGTGGAGAAATCTATAATATTTATAATTATTTTTTCATAAAGCTTTAATGACCTTCGAGATTTATAAATGAAAACTAGAATCAAATCCAACAAGTTTTGGTATATTTTCTTGCACATGCCAAATCAAATTCGATACACTAAGATCTATATAACTAATTACTGAAAGTTCATATAATTAACCGATAAAAGTCCATATAATTAGTACACCATTTTAGGTAGTTAGAGAATTTGTAAACAATTTTTTTTTTCATTTTGAAATACAAAATTTTAAATCTTTTGGTTTAAAATATAAAATTAGTTTATAACGTGTATATGATAAAACATGAAAAGAGAAAAAAAAAACATATTAATTTAACAAATAATGAAATTTGGATAACCAATAACTAAACAATATAGAAATCGGTTTATATTTGGATAACAAAATTTATATTTTAGCATTTGTTTTGGATTTTTAAAAGTGGAACAATTTGAATACAAATTTGGTTAACAATAACAAGTTTTTTTGCACACCCCTACTCACGATACAATAACATGTCATAGTCCATGAGTTTTTCATGAAGTTTAACAAATTTAATGGGACTTTCTCAGCTTCGAAGTGTAACAACAATCTCACGATATTCACTTGTGAGACCATTCAAAGTATGAATAACCAAATCGGTTGAATCAAGTGGATTGTCAATAATATGCAATTCATGAGCAATAACTTTAATAGGTCATAGCCTGGGTAATTTTCACCGGTAATTTTGATGTATATTTGAGAGCCAACATTAAAGAACACCAAATGATTTTTCGATGGTGATGATGGTAGTGAGTTGAGGACAGTATTAGGAAACGTGGTTGGGCCTAATTCAACCCTACAAAACCGGTTAGTAGGGTTGAGTTAGGCCCAACCACGTTTCCTAATATGGTATCCGAGCCTATCGATCGGATCTTGGGCAGTCCACCGTATAAAAATCCACATACCAAGCCCAAAAGAGTGTTGGGCGTGAGGGAGTGTATTAGGAAGATCCTAAAGTCCCACATTGGTTGGAGATAAAACATTGAAATAGTTTATATAGAGTGACACCCCTCACCTTACCAATCGGTTTTGTAGGGTAGTATTAGGCCAAACTCTAATATACAGATACATATGATGTATGAGTGGTATTTTTGGGGTCGGATGTTAATTTTAAAGTTTTCTGAAAACCATAAAAGAATTCAACTTATTGTGTTTTGAGAAATTTGACAAAAGATACATTATATAGATACAAACATACAATTACCGATTAGTGTGATTGTAAGAAAATAAACAAAACTTCCTAATATATTATAATTGTGATCAATATAATCAATAGCAAATATTCTAACACGAATGACCAATATTTTAATTAAGGTATTTATGAGATATGCTTAATTACTATTATAAGATTAAATATAACATGTGACATCATAAGTAAACTTAGAAATTAAAATTGACAATGACCAATACCAACAATATAACTATACTAAAATAGTGATTCCCTAGTTATTTATTATAGTTAATTGTAAGAGTAAGTGTGTGTTAATTAATGTCATGATCATTGGTAAGTAGTAGTAACACGCCACATCCTGTTATATTAACATATTGCACATAAAACTTATTTACAAAATAATTAAGACTAGCCATCTCTATGCCATGTTTCCTCCTTCTTCTCTTTACCACTACTCTCATAGTCATGATACATCTTCATTCAAGAGTTTCTGGTTCTTCATTCCATCTACCTTAGCTCTATTAACCTCACTTTCCATTCTCTTCTATGTTTACTATACTTCAATCATCTTCACCATTCATCATCAACACCACAACCTCCAACCTATTTTCCACTTCAAAACACCATCATCTCAAACCTTACTCAACAATGATTCTGAGTTCATCAAGTCTCACTCTTTCAAATTGGATGATCATGGACTACAAAGTCAAAAGGGTTTATCAAAGGGTATGTAAAAATTTCAATTTTATTATTATTATTGTGATAGAATTTTTTAGTATATGGTTTTGATTTCGTCAAAATATAACTATCATTCATTTATTAAGGCGGCTTAACTAGTTTTAATACTAATGTTTTTCTGTAATATACTTAATTATTTATTATTTTATTTGATCAATTACTTTATTTACACTAAATAATTAAGGGTATTATTGACAAATTTATAAATAATTATGCGATCAAGTAATTTAAAACACATTTTTTTATAAATATGACATGTAAAAAGGATAAAAAGAGTGATTTGTTTAATAGTCAAATTTTATAAGTCTTTCATGTTTGTTGATTTGAATATTCAAAGTTAAAGTCTTTCACGTTTGTTGATTCATGACATCATTTTTATTCAATACATGCATGCTGTTTTTGAACCTGGAATATTTATTTGACTTCTGGATGATTCTATAAGATAAACTTATGTAACAAAGTGATTTATTTAAGCGGTTAATGAACTAGAATAATCATTAATATTACTGTTCAAATTTTAAGTAGTATTAATAGTTATTAGTTAAGTTTTATTTATTCAAATTCAATTTTTGTTACCGCAGAATCAAATCTACATGCAAATGCTATTACTCATGGTTCACGAAAATTTGAGGAAAACAACAATTTGTTCCATGATAAAGATATATTTATGGAAGATTATAAGGAAATGAATACAAGCTTTAAAATATACGTTTATCCACACAAGAAAGATGATCCTTTTGCAAACGTGCTTTTGCCAGTGAAATCTGAACCTAGTGGAAACTATGCCAGTGAAAGTTACTTCAAAAAAGCGCTTATGAAAAGCCATTTTATCACAAAAGATCCAGCACAAGCTGATCTTTTCTTCATGCCATTTTCCATAGCAAGCTTACGGCACGATCGCCGAGTCGGCGTAGGAGGTATCAAAGATTTCATTAGAGACTATGTTCAGAAAATCAATCAGAACTATCCGTATTGGAATCGCACCGGCGGCGCGGATCATTTTTACGTGGCATGTCATTCAGTTGGAAGGACTGCCATGGAGAAAGCAGCAGATGTGAAATTCAATGCCATTCAAGTTGTTTGCTCGTCAAGTTATTTCTTATCAGGTTATATTGCTCACAAAGATGCATGCTTACCGCAAATTTGGCCGAGAAATGATGTTAACTCCTTCAACCTTGTTTCATCCAATAGGAAAAAACTAGCTTTCTTTGCTGGAGCAGTGAATTCTCCGTTACGGAGAATTGTCGTTGAGACATGGAAAAATGATTCGGAAATCTTTGTTCATCATGGAAGATTGAAAACACCATACGCAGATGAGTTATTAGGAAGCAAGTTTTGTCTTCATGTTAAAGGCTATGAAGTGAACACTGCACGTGTAGGAGATTCATTGTACTATGGCTGTGTTCCGGTGATCGTTGCCGATTATTATGATCTTCCATTTGTAGATGTTTTGAACTGGAAGAGCTTTTCTGTTGTTGTGACTGCGTTAGATATACCTTTTCTGAAGAAGATTCTGAAAGGTGTAGTTAGTTCTGGTGAGTATTTGAAGCTAAAGAGGAATGTGTTGAAGGTTAGAGAACAGTTTCAATGGCATTCACCTCCACTTGATTTTGATGTGTTCTATATGGTTATGTATGAGTTATGGCTTAGACGAAGTTCTATACCGATTTTGTTGGAGGATTCTTAAGAAGTAAATAGATTTATCTAAGTATTCAATTGGTTTTGTTACTCTGTATAATGGAGTTATGCAGAAATTAATAAATGATTTTTATATTATTTTAACATTTGGCATGATTTTAATGTTAAGTAACTATAATAGAGTAAGAAAGTACCTTGACTAAGTTAAAACCATCTACAAAGTACATCAAGTAACCAAGTTATTTATGGCGGAAATAGTGAAGTTACATGGTGTACCGGTAACTAATTCATGTATCTCAACTTAGAAAGTTTGTGCCAAATCTTTTGTGCCAAATCTTTTCCAACTCATATTGACGGAGTTAATATAGCTTGAATTAGTCATCACCTTCCAACCTCAACCAATTCAAGTAGTAGACTGTGAAGTTAAATGCTTAAGAAACAAAGACATATCTTTGGTGAATGTGGTGTGGGAAAGATCATATCTCGGATAAGCCATGTGAGAGGTGCAATTAGAAATGCAATTGAATTATCCTTCACATTTTTACGTAAATATCAAATTTCAAGGAGATTGAGGTTGTTATTTTGAATAGGGAAGATGCCAAAAATTTCATCAAGACTTGCCAAAGGGTTTATGGTCGGAATCCGAGTGATGCTAAAATTAAGGATCATTTAGCACATGGAGTTCAATCGGATGGCGTCAATTGGCCCAACTGCTTTATGATCTTTAAGGTTGGTGAGATTATACCCATAAGATGAGTCACGCTAGTGGAGTCGGCTGATGTGATCAAATACAGTTCGGTGACTTTAAGATAGTGAAAACCCCTTATGCTTTAAGTGACTCGGCGGCCGTGAGTGCGGCTAAAATCATAGTTGGTCGCCTTTCTGACTTGTCTATTCTTCTAGTGAAGTTAGGCAAGAGGATATGCAACACTTTCAAGGGGTGCTCTATTCCTTTTTATAAGTGTCTGTTCACTCAGATAAACTTGTGGTTGCACATATCTAAATTTGAGGTGGAGGTGTTAAAGTTTCTGAAGGTTTTCTCCTCACAGCTCCATTCCAGTGCATAAATATTTACAAAGGTGTTTCAATTTTGGGATGAGAAACTCTTATATTAGTTGTTTTTCATATATTTTTTTCGTAACACATACCTCTATATATAATATTCGGTATCATGGACTTATCGTGCTACACCAACACATTTCTTTGTTTAGCTTATTTTCCAAAAACTAGGGCCACTTTCGGGGGTCACTACTAGGAAAAACATGTTTAATCTCGGTTTCATATGCGAGGTAACAAAGGGTGTCATAAAATGTATGTCGTGTTACCTCTTGATTTTACCTCCACTGACGGGTAATGTGGAAAGATCATGAGTTTGATTCCTAGGAAGACCATTTGTTGAATTTTTAAATGGCGGAAACATCTTTCCCCTCAATTTTGACTTTTAACTAACCAGTAAAACACAATTGAGTTTATTATAATGTTGATTGCTTATTTCAAAAAGTATTAATTGAACATATAACTTTTTAAATTGGTTTACAAAATAATTATATGAGCAATTATGTTATATTTAAAGAATAATTTACATTATTCAAAAAATTTCGAGCATCTTGCAACTCATCATTCATATCACATTCTTTAATGGTCAGAATCTCGTTCAATGTTTCAGGTTCTTCATTTAACATTTCCTTCTCTACGAATTCATTCTTCAAGGTATAAAATTGTATCCTTTACAAAATGAACAAGTATAAAAGACAGTTGAATGAAAACAAGCGGCATTGAGAGAGATTTTAACCATTAAAGAACATGAGATGAATGATGAGTTGTAAAATGTTCGAAAAATATTAACAAGTATAAGATGTTTTTCAAATACAACATAATTTTTCAAATTATTATTTTCTAAATCAATTTAATAGGTTATATGTTCAAAAGGGGTTAGTGAAACAAATAATCGACATAAGATATAATAAACTCAACTGTATTTTTTGCCACTATAATGTCCTCTTGACATGTCCAACGAAACAAGATAAGAGTGGCATAAAGAATCACACACACGCACATATGCAAGCATGCACACATGCATGCCTTCATGTACACTCGCACATGTATGCACACACGCACGTGCGCACACTCAAATGCACACATGCACACGCACAAACACACACACACACACACACATACATGCATGCACGCACGCACACACATACACACACACAATATATATATATATATATATATATATATATATATATATATATATATATATATATATATATATATATATATATATATATATATATATATATATATATATATATATATATATATATATATATATATATATATATATATATATATATATATATATATATATATATATATAAGATATAAAAAATTACCTTGGTTGGAACACATTGTCACACCCTAATTTTTTACCCTAAAATTCCACCTCTTTATGCATCATTTTGCATAGCATCTTTAAGTCATGCAGTCTTTGTGTGCATGTTTTTTTATTACTAACAAGTTTGTGCAGAAATATTGATTTCAATTGGAGAAAATACTCATTCTCACAGTCGAGAATTTCAGGGCATGTCCAGTTGATCTTGACTTAAGGCCATCCTGAGGCTTCTCCTTAATTTGGACTTCACTTCCAATAACTCTTTCTTCTTAGGCCACTCTTGGATCATTACTTTGAGAATGTTTTGAATAGACTTTCTGACTATACTTCACCAAAATCAAGATCGGGCTTCGGTAGTTTATGGGTCAAGGGTACCTTAGGGTCAAGATGTTAGAATGTATGATTAATGCTTCATCATTACTTCAACTGAAAATATTTGAAATTAAGTTTTTGTTTTTTTTCCAAGACATTTCTTTGTCAAAGCAAGAAAGGCTTGTTATGACAATAGATTTGCCTGAGGTGAAAGACACGGGTGATGGTGCAAAAGAGAAAGTTGTGGGTTCATTAAGATTAAGGTTTTGTTGCCTTCTCAATCACTTGTGCCCTAAACGCAAGATGATTTGGATTTGGGATTAAGATGTTGATTCAAGTGTGAGCCAAGTTCAATATTTGCAAAGTGACTAAGTAGTAATTTAATTTATGGCATTAAAGTTTGATTCATTTCAAAAGGTTCGATTAATTAGGATCAAGAGATAAACTTGTTAAGTTTTTTAAAAAAAAGATCCATATAAGCTTGTTAAAAATGCAAGTATCTAAATTTCAAACCTAAAGCCTATGTTCTTAAACTTCAAGTTATGTTGAAATTCAAGTTATGTTGGAATTCACCCAAGTTATAATGTGTCTCATTTTTGAATCCATAAATTTTGGCAATAGTTGATTCAAGAGTTGAATCATCATTTAAGGAGATTTTTTTTTTTGCGATTCGCATCATGTTTTAATTCTAAAATTCAAAGAAAGAAGATCTCAATATAAGGTGATACAAGTCAAGGTCAACTTAAACCCGTTCAAAACTTGCAAATTATTTGCAAAAAAATCCACAAAAATCTCATAAAACTCTCAATTCACCTATACAAATTTAAAGGTGCCGATGGCAAGTTATTGTTACAACAACAAGGTTTAGAATTACAAATCTTGTTAATTTTCACGCCATTCCACTCCTAACCGTGGCTTTCACCATCGTCAGCACACCTTCAAGAAGTCCATGCTTCCAAATCTTTCTTGAACGACATTAAACACGTCTTGATCATTTCCTTTCCTGCAAAGACAAAGATCAATACGAAAGCATATCAACATGACTAGCAAAGGGGAGATTAATGATGGTAGATACCTATAACAGTGCTAATAATCCCCAATATACCACTCCCACCATAATGAGAAATTCACAAAAAAAAAACAAAACAAAAAAAAGAAAACACAGTCAATATACATCATTCAGCCTTATCACACTAAAACGTTGGCATGGCAGAAACTACCAATTTGACATATTAATTTAACCATAAGCATCTATAAAAGAAAACTCCTTTAATCTACATCAGCCTGATTGCTTCCCAACAGCACCCGCAAACCCGCAAACCTAGTATTCACATCAAAGTCAAGAGGTTTAAAATCACTCATAAGAAGGAGAGATATACACAAAATGAAGAGATCACTGCCCCTAAAACATGCTCGCAGCCGCATACGCATGAACCACCACACTAACCTTGAAGCAGGTCCCACCATTCAATCCACTTTGACCCAAGGAATTGGAGATGGATGAAGAATATAGAAGAAATACAAACTTGAGCCATGATGAACAAAGGAGATACGTTGATTCATGATTCATAAAAATCAATTAATTTCATTCCAAAGCAGTCCAAAAAACAGGTCGAAATAAAAAGGGAAAACTTTCAATTTACCCGCAAGTATGTCGATACGAAAACGGAAGTATATTCATAATGAAATCAGATTCATAAGACAGGACCAAACATGTCCCCAGCAATTCCAAAACAGGTTCCAAACAAACCGAAATTCTTTCCAAAACAGGCTTTGACACATTATTGTCATTCATTTTCAAAATCAATGTTCTATGGTTTATATGAAGAGGCATAGCAGTGAGAGCAAAGGAGAGGATCCACACACAAAAACAACACATATACATTGAGAAAACAGATAAGGAAAATCACAGGCTGCTAGCAGTATACACGCGCGATACATATAAGTAGATAACTTGCTTTTTCACTTTGTGTTTAATGATGCGGTTGGGCTTTATGTTGTAGGCTCGAGGCGTTTTTTATTTTCTATTTTTCACCTCCAAATTTAACTTGCACCCTATCCTTCTAATGAGGAGTTATTCACTCTTTTTTTTAAGTAATTTGTTTTTCCTAAATCCAGGTTTGCAATAAACTTCTAATTATAATTTGTGATTAGTTTCAACTTGAACTTTATGATTATAATTTGTGATTAATTTTCGATCTAATTCGTGATTCGTATGTGATTAAGAGTTATGGCTAATTGTGTTTAAGTCTGTAATGCATTATTAAGTCCTGCCTAAAATTTGCGATTAACCCTCCGTTTAAATTTATGTGATTAATTTCTTAATACTTACTTGTCGATGA